CTTCGGCCGGGAGGGGGCGGAAGCAGCTGCTGCAAGCCCAGCAGTGGCGGGCGGTCCCTCCTGCCCCCGCAGCCCCTGGTGGGAGCGCCCGGCAGGTGCTGGTGGGGTCGCCCCGACACCCCCGGGGAGGCTCGGCAGGTGTCACCTCCGCAGAGCCAGTCGGACACGAAACGAGGCCCCAGCCCCACGGGGGGGGGGCCCCACCCGCCCCGCGCGGACACCACCCAGCCCTTGCCGGGACCCCCCCCTAGGTGCGGGGCCGGGCGCGTCTCACCGCTGAAGACCATAGCAGCTGAGGCGCCCATGACGGCGAAGAAGGAGGCGTACTCGGGGGCGCTCTCCGTGGACATGGCGGGGCTCTGCCTGCGCTGCGGGGGGAAGCGGCTCTTTCGCCTGCCTCGGGGCTCCGGCTGCTCCTCGGGCAGGGTCGGCAAAGAAACGGCGGAGGCCGCGCAGGGGGCCGGTGCTGGGGTGGGGGTTGGGTGCGGCGGTAGTGGCACTCGGCTCAGTCCCAGCTGGAGTGAGCTGCCTGCTTGGGCGCTGCGCTCTAAATAGCCAACCACCGCAAGACAAAATGGCGGCCGCGGAAGGGTCATGTGACCCCCGCGGAGCTCCCTCCTTCCCTACCCAGCCCCTCAGGGACCGTACCACCCACGGGCAGAAGGGGGCTAGCCCGAATTGGGCATGTTCACTGTCCTGTACCACAGTGAGAATATTATCTCCCGCTAGAAACTAAGTGGGGGTCTCGTTCCTTTTCCCTTAAGTCGCTGTAGAGGAGAGCTTTAGGAGGCCGTTCCCCTCTTCCCGCCGCAGATGGTACAGTCCTCCTCTCCCACAGTCGCGTTCGCCCCAGCTGAGCGTGATTCAGCTGCCATTAGCATAATGGGCGGGGCCAGGGGCCAGGCCCCACCCCCTGGGGGAGGGAAACGGGGCCTGGTCCCTCCCCCTGTGCCCGTGACGTGGGCTGTGTGCGCGCTCCGCCCGGGGGCACGAGGGGAGGTTAGTGCTGCGGGGGGCCCCGCCCGGGACGTGCCCACGGGGCGGGGAGGTCCTGGCGGTGGTGGGACCGTCGCTTCTGGCCGTGCGTGGGGACAGGCCCCCGCCCCGCGGGACCGGACTGGCTGCTGGGCGGGCTGAGTCCCAGTCGCACCTGGCGGGGCGTGCACGTGGAGCGGGCGGGGCCGCTGTGGCCGGAGCTTTTCAGAGCTGGGAGAAACCTGTGCGACTGCAAGCATGAGGGCGGCCGAGGAGGGGAAGGAAAGAACTTGCTGGAGAGCTCTGTTCTGCTCAGTCCTTCAGCAACCTGCAGTCCTCTCCTCTGCCGCTTGGCCAGGGGGAAATCAGGCTGACAGAAGCCGCTGTTGGTGCATGGAGGCAATGGAGCATCTTCCTTCCAAGACACTTTCCGCAGGCCTGAGGGAGAGCCAGGTGTCCTGGACTGTCTCCGTGTCTGCGCTCCTGATGGTGTGTGGCACTTTGGCTGTATCACACGTGCTGTTACTGAGTCTTGGTTTCTCCATCAGTGAGACAGGGATGACAGTAATCCTTCGCCCATGCAGAGAGGGAGCCCCTGCAAGTGCCCTCCACTGCTTGTGTGCGTATGCCTTTTTCCGGTTCTGTACCAGGATGCTCCCACCACTCCAGTGCTGCATTGTATACAGTCCACTCCAGTGTTTGCTTGTCTAGGATGCAGCCATCTTTGATCCTGTTTTCTGCCCAACACTCTTCAGCTTCCTGATGTTGCAGAATTCTGCATATTTCATTGGTTTTCTGTTCAGGTTTTCCATTCAGTAGGCTGATCTACTTGGGAATGATCTTATTTGAGCAGGGGGTTCAACTAGATGATCTCCTGCGGCATGAATGCCATGTGCCCCTGGAGGCTGGGGGGCATGGTGACCACCCACAGGTGGTGGCTACTGTGTTGGCAATGGGGGCATGGCGGCAGGGGAGCAGGGAGCTCCAGCAGGTGGCCACAGCAGTGTCAGTGGCAGGGAGTGGCAACCACCAGCAGATAGCAGCGGCAGCCAGCAGCGATTGGGGACTGACCGCAGATGCTACTGGTGGTGTCAGCAGTGGCAGGGGAGAGTGTGGTTCATGGTGTCTGTCTGCAGGTGCTGTCGGCAGCTTTGATGGTGCCTTTTGCAGGGGGTGCACTGCTAAGCTCAGTGGGTGCACCTGCATGCATCCCCTATGTGCCGCCAATGTCCTCAGGTCCCTTCTAGCCCTAATTTTCTATGATTCTCTAATTCAGTGCAGTAACAAATCTGTTTGGTTTTAAATATGTTATCACTTAATCTGCCTATTTCATACCAGGTTTTTAACACAAAGTCACACTTTTAGACAGGGTGCAGTATAATTTAGCCAGGATGTAATGACAATCCTGAATCATTTCAAAATTGTATTGATAAAACATATCCTAAAAACATGTTTTTATTTCATTGATTCAAAATATTCACATAAAGATAAAAAGAACGTCATCTTCTGTCACACTTTGGCCATTTTATTGTGACTAATTTCATGTGCTGCTTTTCACTAATAATGCATAGGCCAGGGGCCAGCAACTTTTTAGCTGCTGAGTCAAAATAGCATAGCTAGGTTCAAGGTAGGCCAGTACTTCCAATCTGGCTGCCAGCTTCCTGTAGCCTGGTCACCACTATTGCTTCTCCTCCCCACTGCAACACATGCATGCAAATCCCTCAGCTCCTAGATTGCTATCAATATCCAAGCTTTGTCAGTCAGATAAAATTGCTCAGCTGGCCAGAGCCAGCACACTCCATTATATTTCCAATCCATTCCTTAAATAAAAGTTTTGTAAGAAATCTATTGGCACCTATGAGTTTCATAGTTATGTATGATATAGAGTACATGGCAGTCACCATCAGTTATAGAATTACAGCTAATAGGGACTATGGATCTGTCCAAAACACAATGGCAAAGAACTCAGTCTTACTGCCAAGGTTATAAGCCCTGTCTTTGCCTACCTGTTCTGGCTGTGCCTCTACTAGCCTTGGAAATAAAGTGGTAAGGCAGTATCCCTGGTACTACATTTAATACTTGGGTTTGCAGCTTGCACAGGAATAGTGACTTTGGAATTGGGATGTCACTAGGGCTTCCTCATTGCCTTATTTCTAGGGTTGATGTACACAAGCAGAATGACTAGTTAGGGCTTACTGCCTTGGCAGCAAGACTGAGCTCTGTGTTGCCTGTTGTAGTTCTACCTTCCAGGTCTCAGCATGCAGTGCTCCCTGTTGATCCAAGTATCCTTTTTCTCAGACCTAGGCGGAACATTGCATGCTGGGACTGCTAATATTTTACTTTTCCTCACTGGTCCCCATTAGGATTGGGACCCATTGTGCTCAGTAACACATTGCATGTAGTCCCTGTTCTGAAGATCCTGAAGGTAATTAACCACTGAAAGAACTTACATAGGGATGTAGACGAGTCTTCATCACTTGCTGTCTTCAAATTTAGGTGGGTGTCTCTCTCAAAGCTTTGTTGTAGCTCAAGCAGGAATCAAGAGAGAAATTCTTTGGCCTTCACTGTACAGGTCAGGTTAGATGATCAAGGGGCACATCTACATGTTCATTAATGTGCTGTACTAAATTAATGCACAGTAACCAGTGTTACTGCACAGTAGTGCTGGTGCATGCCTTTTTAGTGACGCTACCGCATAGTAGCATATTAGCACTGTTTGTACTGTGACACGCTACTGCAGAGTATTATTAAGCTACTGCATGGTTAGCGACTTATATAGACATGCTCAGGGTGGGCCCCCTGGCCTTCAAATCTGTGCATCTGAGTCTCATAGTCTCATCAACTGAGACTCAATAAGACAGCATGACAAACAGAAGGTGGGAAAGGAAGAGGGTGATGAAAATAGAATGGCTCTGTCACAAGGGTTAGCTGTGTACCCAACTCTGATTCCCAATCATCAGCGATTTGACAATGTATTGGTCATAGTAGCTCTTCCTGATCCCTGCACTACCTGGCCATCGTTCACTGGCTGTTCTCACAAGACATAGTCATCATGGATAGATGGATCTGGAGGAGGGATTTGAAGGGGGGAGGGTAATAGCCCACACATGAACCACCCACTGGTTTATGTGTTGTAAGGGCCAGCATAGAAGAAAGCACAAAGGCAGTAGAAGGATAAGAAGACAAATGGGTGTAGAAGCTTGATTTCATTACTGAAACATTGTTGTCAACCCAATGAGGGACAAAAGTGGATGTCAGGCAGGTTGTAATGTATCATAAAACCAATGACACATTCATTTCAGAAAACTACTGGATCTTTACTTCATAAATATACTGGATACAAAAAATCATGGACTCAATAGAGACATTGCTTTTATGACACATTACAACCTGCCTGACATCTGATTCACCAGTGTTTGCCTGACAGTCTCTTTTCTACCTTGTACTCTGTCACTGCACTGTCTCCCTTCAGCCTTTTTTCCCCTGCTCTCTTCCCCCTCCCCTTCCCCCTTCTGCTTTAACTCTCTGTCTCACTTTTTGTTTTTTTAAGTCTACCTATTTACAATTTCACTGACATCCTGCGACACTTTTAGCTGCTTTCATTTCTTGGAGTCTCAGAACAGCAGAGATTCCCCATGCCTGAAGAAAGGTGACTGCGCCCGAAAGCTTGCTAAATTTTTTTTTCCAGTTACTCAGTTGGTCTAAAAAAAGGTATCCACTCAAAGAACCTTGCCTGCCTATGTTCTTAGACCAACATGGCTACAACCAAAAACCCAGCCACATGATTAAGGACTTTCTTACTTCCTAGTGAAAAACTCTACCTGACAAGGAAATAACACTGCCAAAATGGACTTTGACCAAATAGGAACTGCAATGTATTTTAGAGGCTGGTGCAACACATGATGCCCAGTTATTTCATGTTACTTTTCCTGATGCACAGCTAAGACATACCATCCCTTTCCCTAGCAAACAGTCTCAATAAATTGGTTTTGTTTTATGGGCCTCACACCTCTGACCTTTTCCTGGTGTCTGTGAACCTGTCCTTTGTGGTCTCAGGCTTTGGGCTGTCACCACTCAGTGAGGAACAATTTGATTCTTCTACACTCTGATGGGGTGTTTATTTGTAGCTCCCACCATACATCAACCAGTATCCTCTCAGCACATCTGTCCTATGTTCAAACCATGTTCTGTTTCCCATTCCCCTGTTGAATGGAGGCCTTTGTCGCTCTGAATGTTGCTACAACATTCCTATACATTTTGCCAGATGTATTTTTCAGAAGCTCAAAATTCCATCCAATCGTGGCACTGAAAGCCACTTTTCCACACTGGGGGATATTTTGCTAGCAAATTTCAGACTTCCACACCCAGCTGGCTTGGTGCATGGGCTATACTTAAAAGGTAGCAATCAGAACAAGAAGGATGGAAAGCGGTGAGCAAGCATTCTCTTTAAAGCAAAGTGTTCTTTGTTGAGAAAAATACATTGCCTAAGAAAAATATAACGTAAAGCCAATAAACCAGCCAATATACATATCTGCTTCCCAGGGGTCTAACCATCTGCTGCATGGGGACTCTGCAGGGGAGAGGGGCCAGGTCCCTAGAA